ATATATATATATATATATATATGTGTATTTGTACCATATCATTAACAAAAATATTTATCGACTTTGTTGAAAATTAGTCTAAAACCCTAACTGCAATAAAATTATTCCTTTTAACGTTATTTTTTGTTTTTATCAATCTCAAGACTTTTTTAAAAAGAGGATTATTCTTCTTTTTTTTTAAAAGAGGATTATTCTTTTTGGTGTATATATTTCTTTGGCAACTTCATCCTTATAACCACTTCTCAAATTATTTTTTCTTCACATTTTAAAAAACTATCATCACAGACTACACTTACTGAAAAAATAATTATTTATCACTAACTTTTATTATTATTTATAAAAAAAAACACATAGAGATACGAAATTTCTTTTTTACGCTAGTATGATATAAAATAAAAATTTTGCATTCTAATAATAATACCAAAATATTACAAAATAATATTATAAAAATAAAATTTTTAAAATATTACTTGAACAAATAATCATTTTTAAAGTATCATAATACAAAATAGTATTATAATAAGATTTTTTTAATTAAGAGAAAAGATTGTTTTCCTATTATGGATAATTTATAAAAATAAGTAAAAAAAATAATGAATATAAAAATACTTATATTATAAAAAGAACTCATTGTAATTATAATTTTAAAATATTATATAATACTATTATTGTGAGGTCCCTTCTTTTCCCTTTTCTTTCCCGGATTCTCACTTACTCTCTACTCTTACTCTCTCTTTTCTCTCTACTTCTTTTCCCATTCCTTTCAACTTGCTGATTCTTGTGGTGACCTTGGTGAAGGTGCTGATTCGTAGTGGGAAGCTAGCTGAAGTTCTCCATCCTCATTGATCTCCATTTAAGCTTGTTTCCATCTTCTTCTCCGTTTCTCTTCCCGGAAGCTCGGAATCTTTGCCCGAGGTAAGGGAAGCTAGTTTTGTTCTTGATTTTGGGGTTGAAAGTGAGTGTTTGCAAGCTTATTAGCTGTTGGTGTTGGTTGATTTTGGTTGAGTTTTGGTAAAATTTGGTTTCTTGAAGTTTTGAGTTTTTGATGGAAAAATTTGGGGTTTTCTTGGATTAGAGGTTGCATGTGTAAAATGAGGAGTTTTTCTTGATGCCTAA